ATTATTATTATTATTATTATTATTATTATTATTATTATTATTATTATCTAACTACACCACTGTTATATATTTTTTCCCAAAGGGAAGATGCTCATTCCAGAAATTTTTTGCGTTTCAGCTGGGAAAGTTTAAACTAAACATTGGCGGTTTTATGGACACCCTTTTGATGTTGGAGATGGCACCTGGGCAACCAACCCCCTGCTCCTCTGTGCCCAAGATTGTTGTGGTTCGTCAGCAGCTGGTGCAGACGGCAGCGGAATTGGAGAGTGGGGAAGAATGGGGACCCAGTCCGGGAGTCTGGGGAGGACTCGGACGAGGGTCCTGCATCCGATGCAGAGATGGGGGCCAGGACCATCTGGGAGTGGGGTGCTGCCTCCAGACCCTCTGGAGTCTGGCAGCAGCAAGGCTGAGGAACAAGGGGAGCCTGTTCCCAGTGCGCATGTGCACAGAGCTGCTAGAAGGTGAGAGCAGCTGAAACAAAAGGGATGACTCGGGAGTAAGGCTGGGAGGTGATTGCCCCTACCATAAGGGATAAAGGACAGGCCAAGATGACGAAACCTTTGCAGGAAGCAAAGTAATTTGATCGATTCAGAGTCATTCTTGAAGCTCTTTGTGCTTTGGTTGGGTTTTTGTCTAGTTAATTTGATACTTCTGTTATTGGCAGAATTGAAAGGTGTGTGCTTATCTCGGGGGACTGTTTGAAATTAATTCCGGCTGGGAATGAAAACAATTCCCAGCATTGCAATAAAATAAGTCTTGTTTTTAAAATAAGAGCATGCATAGTTACGGTCTAGGAAGCCTTGGTCAGAACAAAGATGCTCTCTGGACCCCATAAATGAACCCCATGAATTTGGGGGGAATATCTGGACACCTGCCGCCCCCCCCCCCTCACTCAAAAAGACACTGTTGGTCTTTTCTTCCAGATGCTTTAATTTTTAGCGCCTCGGCATGGTTGACCTGAACATTAACCAGATGGAGGGTGCACACAGGCACAAAAGTGTCCACGGAGGTCCTTCACCCTCCACATCATCCTTCAAGGCTCCATCTTCAGAAAGAGACACTGGCCTTGATCCTTCTGGGTGGCTCCTACAGCAGCCAGGTGTGGGGGGGTGGAGGTGGGGGCTAAAGCATCCCTCTTTTGGGCTTTCATTTTTCTTCCTCATGCCTCCGTGCAAAACCTCTGGAAGGATCTCAAGGGACTTCCGGAGAAGACGCCGGTGTTCAACATTGCTGTCGCTGCACTTGGTTGACCTGTCCATTCACCTTTTGGGTTTCGGAACAATCGTTCTTGTGGCCTCTTCATCCTACCTGTTTGACCTGCAAGTTGAGGGACCATTCCAAAGCCCATGTGCCTCACACACTCCCCATCCCCACGGCTAAGGGTCTGGCAGGCAAGCAATGCCCCCGCCTTACAGAAGATGCCGATATTTTCTCCAGGAATCTAGCAGGAAATCTCGCACTTGGGTAAATTTCATGGTCAGCGCAACCAGCCCCGTGAGGAGGACTAATAGTAAAAGGCATTTTTGTAAGAAAAAACTCCTCGGCCGGGGTCCCTTTTTCAAAAAATGATCCACGCAGTCGGCCAGTGAGTACTTTTTTGGGATGTAGCCAAGCTGGGCCTGAGCTTTATCAATTTTGAAGGTGTGTGTGACATACATATTGTGTACCTGTAAATGGGAAAGAAAGAAATTTATGTAAACCCACCTTTATCGGATTATAAAACCAGGCTTTTTAAAACAGGGGTGGGATTCTACCGGTTTGGACCGGTTCTATAGAACCGGTTGTTATGATTCTGTGCAGTTCGGAGAACTGGCAAATCGTGCCCCTGGCTGGCCCTGCCCTCCTCCGCCCGCCCATCCCCTCCCCGCCCAGTCAGTCCTTATTGTGCATGCGCAACATCGTACTCATGCCCGACATCGCTGTGTTCTACCCTGCCCAGTCACTCCTTAAGGTATGTCTTTTTCCCCCCTCCCGACGATCAGCTATGCCGGGATCCCCCTCGCTGTCTTACTGCTTCACCCAGGAGGCTTCCTTGAAGCCCAGGAAGGCAAAAAATGGAGGGGGGGCACAGCACCCATTTCCGCGCTCCATATTGTGCCTTCCTGGGCCCCAGGGAAACACTCCCCAGGAGGCTTCTCTGAGGCCCGGAAGGCCCCAAAACGGAGCATGGGGGGGTGCTGCGGGGCCCCACCTGGCTCCGTTTTTTTTTCTTCCGGAGCCCCAAGGAAGCCTTCTGGGAGCAAAAATGCCCCCCGTGAGGCTTCCTTCAGGCCCAGAAGGCCCCAAAATTGGGGGGGGGGGGGTTTACTGCAAAAAAACCAGCCACACCCACCCAGTCACATGACCATGTCCACCTAGCCACACCCACAGAACCGGTTGTTAAAAAATTTGAATCCCACCCCTGCTTTAAAACCCCTCTTCCTCCAAACCTTAAAACCTGGCTTAAAATCTGTCTGATATTTGCTTTGGTGATGTTGGGAAGGATTTGTCGGCAGGGTCTCTGCATTTCCCAAAATTAACCGTTGCATTATAGTCCACTGCCCAGATTGAGGTAAAAGAATTGAGTGGCTTAGAAGCTGAACAAACAAACAAACATTGGGTAGAACAGAGCCTACAGTTACAAAGCATTGCATGCAGGCATAGGAAACCGCTGGGGGGAAAAAATCGATCGTAGTCTCAGTGGTCTATCTGTAAAATGGGCAGATCGGATAATCTGAGGCCCTTCCTTAAGGGGACACCAAGGTCAAAGGTTGGCAAACGGTTGGAACGAAAGCAGTTTCCCGCCACCAAGGAGCCCCTTTGCCCTCCCCCCCAATTGCTCAAGGATGTCTTACTTCATGTCTGGTGATTAGGGGTGTGATTTCCACGAGGGGGAGCAACAGATTTTGTACTTTTTCCACGACGACAGCTGTGGAAGAGAAAATACAGCTTCTGCGGTTACAGGTTTAACAGGAAGCAAAACGTGTATCCAGCCTCCATCTTAGAAACCTCTCTCTCATCTCGGTCTTACGTACTGTGGGGGTGGGGTGGACCCTATTTTCTAAGAAAAATAATAATAAAGGACCAACTTGAAAATCTGAAAGAGGTTCATCAGGGTGAAGAACTGGCTGCGGTTTTTGGGGTGCATAGCGCTTCAAACCCAGTAAGAAACCAGCATCAAGCCAATTATTGGAGACTGTTTACCTGTTAGATGAACCAGAAGAACAGGAATATGGACCCATGGTTTCTGGTAGCCCAGTCTTTCAAACTGAAAATAAAGGGGAAGATGATTGACAAGGACAATTCTTTACTCCAGGGGTTTCCAAACTTGGTAACTAAGACTTGTAGACTTCAATTCCCAGAATTCCCCAGCTGGCTGGGGGATTAAAGGAGATGAAGTCCACAAGTCTTAAAGCTAGCAAGAATGGACACCCCTGGTCTAAAGGTGCAAGATCTGGCTGGGGAATTCTGGGAAATGAAGTCCACAAGTCTTGAAGTTGCCAACAGAGTCAACAGAGCCAAAATGTAGAAGAAGACAAATGCACAATGAAGGAATACCAGCTGGTCAAGGAGGTCCAAGGATTGACTTTTAGGACCCTCACCTGTCTTTCTCCATCATCTGGGGCAGCAATTAAACCACTTACAGACATCAATTTACAGATCTAAGACTCACCAAGGGTGAGAGCCATTCAAACAGGTTGACCTCTTCCCCGTCGTTGATAAAGTACGCCTGGCCACCCTAAGAAGGACATCAGGGAGGGAAGTGACTTTGAAATCCCAGCAATGCTTCCACACAGTTACAAACATAGACATATTTTTAAAATCTCTTTTACTGTTTTAATGCTTTTGACTGTTTATTGCTTTAAAAAAATTTTAATTTTAATTGTAAGTTTTGAATTGTGAGCTGCGCAAGAGTTGTTTGCTGAGATGGGTAACTATAGAAATCAGATAGATAGATAGATAGATAGATAGATAGATAGATAGATAGATAGA